AGTCCCGTAAACTCCCCTCACCAGGACATGATTTCTTAGGCTGTAGGACATAATTTCTTCTTCAAGATTCATTTTATAAATTTTTCTGGAATTTTTTACGAAAATTTTAAATTTTTCTTACGAATATTATTTCCCCATTAATTCCTTGAGGTTTTACAAAATGCATTTGCAGAGATTCAAAAAATTCATTTCTTTTCAACGTGCTCCAGGATGACGGCGGTGATCAGGGAAAACTTGAGGCATTTATCAATTTCTGCGAGGATACCATTTTTGAGGTTCTTTTTACTTATTAAAGAAATCCCCCGTTCTTTTGCTTATTTTTCGGGAGAACTATAATTCTGCTGCAAGTCTTTTTTTTTTTTGAGAAGGAACTTTTTTTGGATTGCAGCTAGTAGAGGACCATTGGGAAATGAAGGCCAACCTCAATAATAACTTTAAGGGGGGGGGGGGCGCCAAGAGTGATAACGATGATAACATATAACTGTGAAAAATGAAAAGATCAGGGACCAGGATTACCCGTATTTTCTATCGCTTTTATGAGTTGGAGGTGCAGTTAAAACACAGAAATGCCCGTTTTGCAAGCCTTTGAACAGAATCAGATGAGTAAAAATTAGTATTTTAGGAAACTGAAAAATTTCGCTCATTTGAGTATATAAAGGCGGAAAAATAAAAGTCTTTTTTGGACGGACGAAATTCGAGCGAGGCTTGTTAGCTGAGATAAACAACTTGATTGGAAACTGTTCTAAAACTGCAATAATTTTGTTTCGTTGTCAAATAAAGTCTTTTTTTTTGCCTAGATGCAACATGCTGCCGAGATTAGTGCTGGCGATGCAGCAGATTCGAAAATTGAACGAGCCAAAAGACAGCGTGATTACTTCTTGCAACAAACTTCAGCTGGCGCGTAAGTGTTCCTTATCAATTTTACGTTATTTTTTTGTTTTTTAAGGGATTATTTCTGGTTTGCTAGAGAAGTACAGATTAACGAGATAGCCGGAATAATTGGTCTGAATATCCCATGTTAATGGTTTTACTGGAATTTCCCAGCATATCAGGCACAGGTATGCGAAGCAGTTTAATCCTGAGCTGCATACCTTCGATTAGTATCTACTTCCGGAGAAATGGAAAAAAGCACAAAAAAGCAAAACCCAAAATTTGCAAATATTCTTCTCTTCATATTTTTTTTATCAATTAGAAAAAATTTGGAAAGATGGTTTCAGGGACTTTCTCAACGAATTACTAACTAATTTTTTTAGAAATTTTTTAAATCTTTAGCGAGTTGAGCAGATGCGCTTTAATTACTACAAAGAGTAATTTGATACTAGCCTTGGGTGGAAAGCCTGGCATGCCGAATTTAACTTTCTTCCTTGGCGCTGCCTCGATCTTAGTGCTTTGTGGCTGTTTTATCCAAACTGTCTTATCCAGATCTGTTTGCAGACAGCTTTCGGCTACATTTAAAACTGGTTTCGATTATGGTGTGAGTGCGGCAATTGCTCTGAAACCAGCTAATGTAAAGAAAACGTTTAACACTGCTGCTGCTACAATCAAGTATAAGCTTCATTTGTTTCTTTTTTCCAAAATTCAAAGTTCATACTCATTCTAAGTGACAAGGAAGTAACTCGAGTGGTAGCAGATGCCAACAACCGATCGCTGGTAAGACTAACCGTGGCCTCTGTTTTCGTTGTCGACGGCTGCTGACGCTTGAACCGAGTTTCAGGAGTTGCTATCGATAGGTTCAGATTTCGAGGACTGTTTACAAATAAGTTGGTAACAGGTTTGAGTATAGTCTCTCATGTTGGGTGGATTAGAATGCGATATTCCTGAATGTATTGGTACCTGCTT